CTGGCCAGGTTGTGTTGCTGGACAAGTCCTCCTTCTGCGGGGGGAACTCCACCAAGGCCACTAGTGGCATCAACGGCGCTGAGACCAAGACACAGAAGGCCAAGGGCATCGACGACACCATCACCCTGTTCACGAACGACACCCTCAAGGCCCACCCACCGAGGTCGAGGAGAATTGGGGTGGGGGGGATGGGGGATGGGGAAGGGGGGGAGGATGGATACAGGCAGGGAAGGCGGGAAGGAGGCAGAGAGGGAGGTTGGAAGCATGGATGAAGCGAGCATGGGGAGGTTAGGAGGGAGCGAGCAAGAGCAAGCAGGGAGGGGGGGATGATGGGAAAGGGAGAGTGAGAGAGCGAGAGGCTGAGAGACGGGAGGAACAGTAACATGAGCAACCTTCAGAGGAGGTGGAGGAGGAAGGTCCTACGGAGTATAGAGGCTGAGTGGGAAGGGATGGGGAAGTTGGGATGCAGCAGGGAACATGTGCTTTGCAGGACGTTGTGGCACACATTTCGTCCAATGCTGGCGGTGGGCCACATTATGAAAGCGATGATGAGGGCGATGGCGATATCGATGATGACAATGGTGGACGTATTTGACCATGATGGTGATTGCATGGAAGGGGATCAGGAGGTCGACCAGAAGCATGTGGAGTGATGACTGGGCGGAGGAGGAGGATGCGGATGAGGAGGATGAGGAGGATGAGGATGAAGAGGAGGATGAGGAGAAGGAGGAGGATGCTGAGTATAACATGGAAGTGGTGGCGCACGTTGAGAAGGAGGATGAGGATCTTCCGTTCATGGCCAACATCAGCAGATGTCATATGGCAGTAGCCTACAAACCATGCAAGAGGGGGTGGAGGTGATAGGATGGTGAATCTGAAGATGTTGAGGAGGTCGGGAGCAGGGAGGGAGGCAGGGAGGGGGGTGGCGGTTTGGGAGGGGGAGGAACATGAGGAGGAGGAGAAGGAGGAGGAGGAGAAGGAGGAGGCGGCGGTAGGGAAGGAAGGGGAACAATGAGGAGAGAGGTGGTGGTGGAGGAGGCATACATGTGCAGGCGTGGGGGAGGTAGGGGGAGGTGGAGACGCCCGAGAACGCGCAAGGACGAGATGGAGGGCGCCGCTGAACGCCAACAAGGCCTCAGCGCCCTGCTCGAGCGCCACACATACAAACCTTCGGACAACCCTTGGCCCCCCTCCCCCCCCTCGCCCTTTCCCTCCCCCCCGCTCGCCCCCCCCCCCGGCAGGGCGGCGCCAAGAAGCCCGAGCTGGTGAAGGTCCTGTGCGGCAACAGCGGGGCCGACGTCGACTGGCTGGTGGGCGCGGGCGGGGGGGGGGGAGGCTGGCACTGCGGGCGGAGGGGGGCCTCGCAGCTCGGGGGATGAGGATCTTGACGATGAGGATGGCGATGGTGGTGGCGGTGACGGTGGTGGTGGTGACGGTGACGGTGACGGTAACGGCGATGATGCTGCTGATGATGATGATGGTGATGATGGTGATGCTGATGTTGTTGATGCTGTTGACGATGACGACGCTGATGACGATGACGATGTTGATGATGACGATGCTGATGATGGTGATGCGGATGGTGATGGCGATGGTGATGATGCTCATACTGCTGCTGATGATGATTATTGTGATGCTGTTGTTGACGATGACGTTGCTGATGCTGCTGTTGCTGCTGCTGGTGGTGATGATGACTGTGTTATGATGGTGATGATGATAACGCTGGCGAGGATGCTGATGATGATGAAGCTGATGGTGTTGATAATACTGGTGATGCTGGTGATGCTGATGATGCTAATGATGCTGATGGTGCTGACACAGCTGATGATGCTGAGGATGATGCTGAAATGGTCATGATGATGCCGCTCATGATGCTGATGCTGATGCTGCTGCTGATGATGATGCTGATGGGGGTGATGAATCTTATCACTATGACGATGCTGATGATGTTGAGCTGCTGCTGATGCTGATGATGGTGGTGATGGTGATGACGATGCGGATGAAGCTGCTTATGATGCTGCTGCTGCTCATGGTGTGATGATATGATGATGACGCTGAATATGATGATGCAGCGGATGTTGATGACGGTACTGGTTATCATGATGACGATGCTGATGCTGATGCTTATGCTGCTGCTTATGATGATGCTGATGATGATGATGCTGATGCTGATGCTGATGATGAGGATGCTGATGCCGATGCTGACGATGATGCTGCTGATGATGAGGGGGAGGAGGAGGCGGATGATGATAATGATGATGATGATGATGATGATGATGATGATCATGATGATGATGATGATGATGATGATGATGCTGATGACGATGATGATGCTGATGATGATGATGATCATGATGATGGTGATGGTGACGGTGATGGTGATGCTGATGGTAGTGATTCGGCAACTGATGCTGACACGGATTGGGCGAAGATGAGGAGGAAGAGGATGGGGGAGAGGGAGGGGGAGGAGGAAGAGGAGGAGGACGAGGAGGAGGAGGAAGAGGAGGAGGAGGAGGTGGAATGAGGGAAGGAAGGAAGAGGATGGTCATCCCGGTCCGCCTCATCTCGTCTTGTCTGGCCTCTCTCTTTCCTCTCTCTCTGTCTCTCTGTCTCTCTCCCTTTCTTCTCCGCGATGTTCCTGGAGCGCTTGCGCCCGAGTTCAACCTCTGGTTTGAATTGTTGTCGGCCTGTTCGGAGCTTCCTGTTCGCGATGTGTGTGTGTGTGTGTGCGCGTGTAGGCAGAGGAGGAGAGAACGATGGATGGCGGGAGGGAGGGCGGGAGTATGAGAAGGAGGAGGAGGGGGAGCGGCAGGAGGATGTGCAGCGGTAGGAGGATGAGGAGGAAGAAAAGAAGTAATGGGAGGAGGAAGAGGAGGAGGAAGCAGAAGGAGCAGGGGAAAGATGGTGAAGACATCGATTGTGATGATGTTGATGATTCTGCAGCTGCTGCTGATGATGGTCATGATGATGCCGATGATATATAATGATGCTGATGCTGATGCTGATGCTGATGCTGATGATGATGATGATGATGATGCTGATACTGATTCGGCTGCTGATGATGATAAGGATGATGGTGGTGCTTCTGCTGATGATGATTATGCTGCTGATGATGATGCTGCTGCAGATGATTATGCTGATGTTGCTGTTGATGATGATGCTGCTGATGTCGATGCTGGTGAAGATGATGATGCTGATGATATTGATGATGACGATTTTGCTAATGATGATGATGATGATGCTGATGATGATGATGTTGATGCTGCTGTTGACCATGCTGCTGGTGATGATACTGATGTTGATGATGATGCTGATGATCAGGATGATGCAGATGATGCCGATGATGCTGATGATGACGATTCTGATGGTGATGGTGGTGCTGATGATGCTGATGATCCTGATCATGATGATGCTGATGCTGATGTCGCTGACGATGCGGATTGCGATGATGATGATGATGCTGATGCTGCTGATGCTGATCATACTCATGATAATGATCTTGATGATAATTGTGATGCTGGTGATGCTGCTGCTGATGATGATGATGATGCTGCTGAGTATGATGATGCTGATGATGATGTTGCTGATGGGGGGTGATGACGGTGACTGTGATGCTGATGATGGTGATGATGTTATTACTGATGATGAGGCTGTTGCTGCTGACTATGATGACGCTTATGCTGATGACGAGTATGATGAGGATGCTGATGATGCTGATGAGGATGATGATGCTGAACATGCTCATGATGATGCTGATGTTGTCGAAGCTGATGATGCTGATGATGCTGCTGCTGATGATGATGATGATGTTGATGCTGATGGCGATGATGAGGATGATGATGATGCGGCTGCTAATTACGATGCCGATGTTGGTTATGCTGATGGGTACGATGATGATGACGATGATGTTGCTGATTAGGATGCTGCTGACGATGCTGACGATGATGATGACGACTATGATGATGCTGATGATTTGATGATGATGGTGACGGCGAGGATGATATGATGCTGATGATGATGCTCATGATGCTGCTGGTGGTGATGATGAAGATGATGATGGTGATGATGATGATGATGATGATGATTATGATGATGATGCTGATGATACTGATGATGATGATGCTGATGACGACGACGACGATGATGATGCTGATGATGATGAATAATGATGATGATGAGATGATGATGATGCGGATGATGACGATGATGCTGCTGCTGCTGCTGCTGATGATGATGATGATTCGATGATGAGTGATGCTGATGATGATGATGATGATGATGATGATGATGATGATGATGATGATGATGATGATGATGATGATGATGATGGGAAGGGGGGAGGAGGAGGGAGAATGGGTGAGGGAAACGGGAAGAGGGGGCAGGGAGGATGGAGGAGGGAGGAGTGAGACAGGAGGGAGACAGGAGGAGGGAGGCGGAGGAGGAGGAGGAGGAGGAGGAGGAGGAGGAGGAGGAGGAGGAGGAGGAAAGGAGGCGGAGGAGGAGGAGGAGGAGGAGGAGGTGGAGGAGGAGGAGGAGGAGGAGGAGGAGGGAGTAGGAGGAGGACGACGATGACGAGGAGGAGGAGGACCAGTGTAAACCCAAGAGTCATCAACGATGTTGGAGTAAACCCTCCCTCCAAGCTCCCTCCCCATAAGCCCCTACAACGGTTCATTTCCATTGAGGGAACTGCCTCGGTGGAAGACACCGTTTGAAGACCCTGAAGTATGCCAAAACATTGTTGTTCTCGGACTCTTGAACAGTTTGTAAACGAAGGTGCGCGACGCTAAGGCGAAACACACATTTTGAAAAGGAGCCGCCCTCAATCCGTGAAGCCTTGTCATTTTTAAAACGAATGTGCGTCGCGCTTAGGCGAGAGTCACATTTTGAAAACCACCCGCCCTCAATCCGTGAAACGCTTGCATTTAAAAACGAATGCGCGCCGCATTAAGGCGAGTGCCACATTTTGAAAACGACCCGCCCTCAATCCGTGAAACCCTGGCACATAAAGAAAACGAATGCGCGCCGCGCGAGGGCGAGAGCTACATTTTGAAAACGACCCGCCTTCAACCTGTGAAACCCTTGCAAATTTTAAAAAGCGCATTTGCGCCGCGCTAGAGCTAGAGCCACATTTTGACAACGACCTGCCATCCATTTGTGAAACTGTTGCGAATTTTGAAGCTTCAGAGTCATACATGCTGAGGAAGTCTCAGGCGTAACACCCGGCCCGCCCTAAAAACAGGCCTCGGAGTGCGACAGGGAACAGTCAGTTATAAGGAAAAGGAATGGAGGAAGAGGGGGAGGAGGAGGAGGTGGAGGAGGAGGAGGAGGAGAACGAGGACGAGGAGGAGAAGGAGGAGGAATGCATGGGGAGGGGGAGGAGGAGAAGGGGGAGGAGGAGTAGGAAGAGGATGACAAGGAAGATGAGGAGGAGGAGGAGGAGGAGGAGGAGGAGGAGGAGGAGGAGGAGGAGGAGGGGGAGGGAGGAGGGAGGAGGAGGAGGAGGAGGACACGGAGCGGGACACGACACAGACGAGGAGGAAAGAGGCGGGGCAGCAGTGCGGCAGCAGCCCACAGCGCGGGCAGGTGGAGAAGTTCAACCTCGACCTGTCCCTGGTCGCCCGCCTCGGCGGCCACTCCGCGCCGCGCACTCACCGAGGACGCGACTCGGGGCTACCGCGTGGGGGGGGGGCGAATGGGGGTGGGGGCGGGGATTCGCTTGCAGTTGTGCCACCTGATTCTTGTTGTGTTTCCGTTCCCCCCTACATTCCATCTCCCATCATGTTTCCACTCCACCTCCTTGCTCGCCCTCCCCATCATGTCCTCCTCCGATGTCGTCGTACTCCTGCTGCTGCTGCTGCTGCTGCTCCTCTTCCTCCTCCTTCTCCTCCTACTCCTTCTCCCCCCCTCCTCCCCACCCCTCCCCCCTCCTTGTCCTCCTCCTCCTCGTCCTCGTCCTCGTCCTCCTCCTCCTCCTCCTCCTCCTCCTCCTCCTCCTCCTCCTCCCCCTCCTTTCCCTTCTTCTCCTCCGCCTCCTCCTCCTCCTCTTTCACTCCACCTCTCTCCTCCTCGTCCTCATGCCTCATTCCTCCCTTCTCAATCCGTCCCCTTCTCCCCCCGACCCTTCGACCGCTTCTGCCTGCGACGTCGCCGTCGTCGTCGTCGCCACCGCCGTGGCCGCATCGCCATAGTCGTCGTTGTGGTACAGGTCTTGGTCGTTGTCGACAACGTCGTCGTGGTCTGCGCTGTGCCCCCTTCCGCCGCTGGCAGGCGCCGAGCGATTCCCGGGGATGACCATCACGTACGCTTTGATTCAGATGGTTGAGAAGGCTCGCGGGCAAGATGCAGAGAGATGGGTGACGGGGGGGAAGGGGGAGGGCGATCAGGATGAGGAGGATGAGGGGGACTGGGAGGGCGAGGGGGACGAGGAGGAGGAAGAGGAGGAGGAGGAGGAGCAGGAGGATAGAAATGCGGAGGATGAAGAGGAGGATGATCAGGACTAGGAGAAGCATGCGGCGGCTGATGACGGGGGATGGGGCGAGGGAGGAGAGGGGCCTGGGAGGAATAGCGTGACAAGGAGAACAAGTCAGAGAAGGAGCAGGAATAAGGGGAGCTGGAGGGGGAGGCGTAAGAAGTAAGAGACGTAGGATGGAGACATCAAGGAACATTGCGGAGTCATGGGAGGATGAGGAGTAGGATGATGAATTGGAGTGGAGGAGTAGGATGATGAATTGGAGGGGAGACCAGGGAGGACTGTATAGGAGGAGCATGCGCAGGGGGAGGGCATAATGATCTGGTTTACGTAAGTGGCTGTGTTCACTCCCCAAGCCCATGCCCTGCCTCTCCTCCATGCCCCCTTGTCGATATCTCCCTTCTCCCATCCTTCTCGTCCTCATTGCTATTAACATCTTCATCCTTCCTGTCATCCTCCCCCTGTTGTGGTCCTCCTCTCCATCCTGTTCTCCTCGTCCTCCTCCCCTTTGTTCCCTTTCCCTCCTCCTTCCCTTCTCGTTCTGCGTCTCCTTTCCCCCTGCTCCTTTCCTGGTCCCGTCCTTGCGCTGGTCGTCCCCCTACCTCTCCCCCCCCTGCTGCCTCCCCCCTTTCACCTCTCTCCTCGTACTCCCTCCCCCTCCCCCTCGAAATGCCCTCCCCCTTTCCCGCCCCGTCTCCTCCTCCTCCTCCTCCTCCTCCTCCTCCTCCTCATCGGCCTGCTCCTCGCCCCCCTCCCCCTCCCTCCGAATCCCAATCCGCATCCCTCTCCTTCACCTATACTTCCCCCTCCCGCTCCCTCTCCTTCCTTCCCCTCCCCCGCCCTCTCTACCCCTTCCCCCCCCCTGCCCCCGCCCTCTGCCCCTCCCTTCCCCCTTTCCTCCCTCTTCCCCGCCTACATCCTCCCCCCCTCCCTCCTTATGCATACCCGTTGTCCTCTCTCTCCCGTCCTCTCTTGCCCCTCCCCCCGCCCCCCCTCCCCCCTCCCTTTCTTACCCCTTCTCCCGCCCCGTCCTCCCCCATTCTTTCCCCCTCTCAATATGCGGCAGCGAGCGTGGTTGGCATGTCGACAAGGGTGGTTGGCAGGACAACGAACTTTTCCCGCCCAGGTGTACACCAGGAACAACTAAACGACAGTCAGGACCTGGAGGAGCGTGAACATGGAGAAGGGGAGGACTAGCAAGGAACCACAAGAGAGCATCGCGGCCAACGAACGTGCCCTTTGTCCCTCACCCTCCGGCTGTCAGCACGTCAACGAACGCGCTTGGCATGAACTGGCGCCGCAGGCAGAGCGCCCGAGGTGCCTGTGGGCCCCCCCCGACGCGAGCGCCCTCCCCGCGGGGGCGCGTCCCATCTCTGAGAGCCAGGACTGCACAGTCGACACCGGTGACAGGGACGCGTCACCTTCCCGAGGGTACCCTTGCATCCTTGCCTCTGCGGTCCGTGCTCAACCACTTTCCATGGCCAGCCCGTCTCGAAGAGCTTCGGCATGGCCTTCCAAGGCCCTTGCATCCTTGCCGCGCACCAGTACGATCAGTTTTGACATTGCCAGTCTTTTTTCCATGCAGGTCACGGCATGGATACCCCCGCAGCGACGTTGGAGTCTTGATTCCAGAGTTTTTCCCTCTTTCTTCATGGCCATCTCCTCCTTCTTCTCCCTCTGCTCCCCACCTCCATGCTCCAGCGAGGTCGCCGAAAGGTCGGACAAGGCGCGCATCATCACCAAGGCCAAGGTCACCAAGCTGCTCACTGCGAACGGCGGCTGTGTGGGCTGCACCTACGAGAAGGGTGGCCAGGACCCACAGCCAGCACCGAGGGGGGTTGATGATGAGGAGCGGGGGCGAGGAGGGGGAGGAGGAGGAGGAGGAGGAGGAGGAGGAGGAGGAGGAGGAGGAGGAGGAGGAGGAGGAGGAGGAGGAGGAGGAGGAGGGGGAGGAGGAGGAGGCGGAGGAGGAGGAGGAGGAGGAGGAGGAGGAGAAGTAGGGAGAAGTAGGGGAGGACCAGGCGGGGGAGGATCACGAGCGGGAGGAGGGAGCGATGGGGGGAGCGGGGCCCGAGGAGAAGGAGGAGGGGAGGAGGAGGAGGAGGAGGAGGAGGAGGAGCTGGAGCTGGAGGAGGGAGGAGGAGGAGGAGGAGGAGGAGGAGGAGGAGGAGGAGGAGTACGAGGAGGAGGAGGAGGAGGAGGAGGAGGAGGAGGAGGAGGAGGAGGAGGAGGAGGAGGAGAGGGAGAAGGTCGAGGAGCAGGATGACAAGGTGGGGGAAGACGAGCGTGAGGAGGGGGGGGGAACGAACGAACACATCAGCCATGCGCAACACGCGTGGGGTGTGGGGGGGAGCAAGGGGAGGGGGATGATGCTTATTATGGGATCCAGGAGGACGAGAAGGACGAGGTCGACGACGAGGAAGAGGACGACAATGACGAGGTGGACGAGGACGAATAACACGCAGAAGACGGCGACGGCAACGTCCAGGTCCTTGTCTTTGACTCCGTCATCGTCATCGTTAACCCCTCCAGGGGGGGCATCCTAGCAGAGACCGCGTAGGGCGCTTGCTATGCTGGAGGTATGGGGGATCACTGCGGTAGGAGGAACGCTGTCCAGCTGATGAGCCGTCCGTAAGTCTCGATCACTCGATCCTTTTCGCCGCCTCTCCCAGCATGGTCAGAGGAACGCTGTTTAGCTCATGAGCCGTCCAGAAGCCTGGATCCTTCGATCATTCTCCCCGTCTCTCCTGGCTTCCCATCCCTCTCCTCTACGGCGAACCCGCGTACGGTAGGTTCGTGTCGTGTCGATGCGGCGACGACCCAGCGCGGGCGTTCAAGGTTTCAACGCCGCCAACTGCCCAGAATCGTCCCATGCGGAACGATCTGGCTATCGAAACGCCGCCGATCGTTCAAGGTTGAACGATCCGCGCGGTGTCAGAAGCCAACCCCGAAGCCGCCACGACACGAACCCGTCCCACCTTCACACGATCGAGCTCCAAGGCTTCTCTCTAGAGAGGCTGCCCGGCTCCCCGGCAGGTCGCGCGCACGCCTCCCGTGTTCGCGTCCGTTCCCAAGGCGGGGGTCCATCCGCAGCCACTGCCCGGGCGGTCGATCTCTGGGGACATGGGCAGGCGGCGAAGATGGACGTGTTCGGGCCCCGTGGGGGGGGGGGAAAACATGTCCACATTCCCATTCCCCGCATGTCGATGGCCACGAAGGTCGATCCCCCAAGCGGTGGCCACGGATCTAGGCCTCCCACATGGTGTCCGAGCAGATGGGATCGGAGGATCGCGACGCATCGTGTCGGCCATGCGGCTCGACGCGAAGCCCGACTTTCTCCACGCCGACGGTGTCGATGCGGCGCGGTCCTCCGACCCCATCCACTCGGACCCCACTGAATGGGCGATGCAAAACAAGGGGTCGCCTGCGCCGGCATTGGCGCCCGAGCTGCCCGCGTACGGTCGTGCGTAATAAGCGCCCTCTGTGCCAGTGTGGGGTGCCGTGCTCGGGGCCGGCGTGAGCCGCCCCGTAAGGCCGCTGTGCCAGCTCGCGTATGTAAGTAGGGGGAACTTTCGAGGAAGCCGGGACTCGGGTTTGCCGACGTTTCTTGACGAGCGCGTCCTAGATTTCGACGGTCCAGTTTTCGTGGGATGTTTGCAGCGGGAGCTCGCGTCACATTTCTGATTGGGTCCAGTCATTTTTATGATGGCCCCGTCAGGCCAACCCGAGTCCGCCGTACCCGAGGCTAACGTCTCCCCGAGGAGGCCCCTTTTTCGATCGTCGCTCAAACGGATGAACTCGCGCCTCGCATCGTTCCCTTCTGCCCTCCGCCAGGGGCGGTGCCTTGCAGCAGGCGGCGCCCCTGGTCTGTGCCTCGTCCCTCTCGCCTCCCCCGGCCCTCCGCTCGCGCCTGCGCCCAGTCCTTCTCCGAGATGGGGCCCGTCATCCTCGCCACCGGCGGCTTCGGCGCGGCGGCGGCGGCGGCGGCGTCGACGGCGACCAAGACGACGACCAAGATGACCACCAAGACGACGACCAAGACGACGACCCAGACGTCGAGGACCAAGGCGACGACCAGGGCGTCGGCGAGCACGACGACGATCGAGTCGACGACCAAGGCGACGACGAAGATGACGCTCAAGACGACGACCAAGATGATGAACAAGACGAGGACCAAGACGACGTCCAAGACGACGACCTAGACGGCGGCGGAGACGGTTGCAGTTCCGCCGCCAGCGTCATCGTTGTCGTGTTCGTCGTTGTTGTCCTGCTCCTCCTCCTCCTCTGTCGGCTGCTCCGTATCCTTCTCCCTCTCGCGCTCCGTTCTTGTGTTCTGCTCCCGCATTTTCCTTATCCTGCTCCCTGGTCTCGCTCCCTCCTCACCTCGACCTGCATCCTCGACGTCTCTAATGACGGCAATGCCGTGGACGCCGACGCCGACGAAATCATTCACACTGACGTCGTCGACGACGACGGCACTGTCGAAGTCGACGTCGACAAATCGTGTCTCATGCACGAGCGAAGTTTACATCGAACGGCCCGCCCGCCCGCCCCGAGCGCGAGTCCGACGCCGGGAGGGCGCCCTCCTCAGAGTTTCGATCCGCGGGCGACCCGCGTGGACCGTACCGCGTTGGCGTCCCCCGAGGCGTCCCCCTAGGCATCATCGATCCTCGACCCAGGAATCGCACGGTGCATGCTTTTTCGGCCCGCCTGAAGGGAATCCAAGCATGGTGTGATGTACGGGCACCGTTGTCGCACCAGAGCTCCGACGATGCGTTGTTTTCGGCCAGTGCTTCTTCACAGATTTTGGCCTTCGGGTGCCGTTTTCGGGCCCCGGGCTATCCACATTGGATCCGGGAAGTTACGGACTACCCCTGGGGAAGCCGTCGGAAACTTTGAGGCCTCGGATTGAAAACACACATCGGTGGATGTCAGTTGTCGTTTTCTCGAAGGAAATTTCTTGGCGGCGCTGGGCTCCTGGCGGCGCCTCCGTCGCAGCCCCCGGCGCGCTCCGCGCGCCATGCAGGGCGGTCCAGCGCCGATGCATGACATCGACGCGGACCTCCGAAAGAGTACGTCTGTGCCGTCTCTTCTTCGTCTTCTTCTTCTTCTGGCTTCGTGTGGCACTTGGGCCCTGTGTGTGTCGGGAGTTGCCAGCGCATCGGCCAGGGCCAGCCAGAGCCAGGCGCGGCGATCCCATGCCGATGCGATTCGGGACGCTTCGCTCGCGATTCTGTCCGTTTCCGATCCGCCCGATTTCGCGATCTGATCCAGCTGAGGCCTGCATTTTGGCCAGGCTCACCCCTGGAAGCCTCCAAGCGTGTGGCGGCCGGCGCACCCCTCCCCCCGCCAAGGCGCGGACTTCACCAGCAATTCCCTCCTGGCTCAGTACCGCCCCGACCTGATGCACCTGCCGACCACCAACGGCGAGCACTGCACCGGCGACGGCACCTCGCACCCTGCGCGCGACCCCGCCTCCCGCCTCGCCTGCTTGTCCAGCGCGTGGAGTCCCAGGGATGTCTTTACCCAACCGTGTCGGCCAGTGGTCCCAACACCACCGCGAGATGACTGCGTGTGTGCGCGTGTGTGTGTGTGTGTGTGTGTGTGTGTGCGCCCGTCGGGAGTGCTTTTCTAAGCACCCAGGTGGGAGGCGGCGGCCCACCGGGGAGCCGGCGACACGTCACACCCCCAGACGAGCGGCGGGCAGAGAGGAGGCAGGGAGGGAGGGAGGGAGGGAGGGAGGGAGGGAGGGAGGGAGGGGAGGGAGGGAGGGAGGAGGAGGAGGAGGAGGAGGAGGAGGAGGAGGAGGAGGAGGAGGAGGAGGAGGGAGGAGGGAGGGAGGGAGGGAGGGAGGGAGGGAGGGGGGGAGCGAGGAGAGCTCGGGCGAGCGCGGGAAGGCGGAGGAGCCGGGCACTTGGCCGAGGGGCTGTGCCCCGCCCCCTGGTAGGCGCGGCGCCGCAGGAGCCCGTTCGGGGCGCGGAGAGGGGCAGGGGGAGGGGGGAGAGAGAGAGAGAGAGAGGGAGGGAGAGACAGAGGGGGAGGCAAGCGAGGTGCGCTCGCGCCACAGTTGACATCCTATGCCTCCCTCCCAGACCTGCCCAGTAGTATGTTGTTGTTGTTGATGATGATGATGATGTTGTTGTTGCTGTTGCTGTTGCTGTTGCTGTTGCTGTTGCTGTTGCTGTTGTTGACGTTGTCGTTGTCGTTGTCGTTGTCGTTGTTGTTGCTGCTGCTGCTGTTGTTGTTGTTGCTGCTGTTGCTGTTGCTGTTGCTGTTGCTGTTGCTGTTGTTATTGTTGTTGTTGTTTTTGTTGTTGGTGTTGTTGTTGTTGTTGTTGTTGTTGTTGTTGTTGTTGACGAAACCACTAGCTGGCGGACCGGCCCCCTCCCCCCCCCCCCCCCCCGCGCAACGCAGCGCAACGCAACGCAACGCTCTCCCCGCGCGCCCCCCCGCGGGGCGTACAGGGACCCGTACAGGGTTCTATAGGGCTCCCACAGGACCCCTACAGGGTTCCATAGGATTCCTATAGGACCCCTACACGGTTCCATAGGATTCCTATAGGACCCGTACAGGGTTCCATTGGACTTTTGTAGGAGCCGCACAGGGTTGGATCGGACCCCCATAGGACCCCTACAGGGTTCCATCGGATTCCCATAGGACCCGTGTAGGGTTCCATTGGACTCCTATAGGACCCCTACAGGGTTCCATGGGACTCCCATAGGACCCCTACAGGGTTTCATAGGACTCCCATACGACCCAGACAGGGTTCCTGAAGACTCCCATGGAACCCCGACAGGGTTCCATAGGACTCCCATAGGACCCCTACAGGGCTTCATAGGACTCCCATAGGACCCCTACAGGGATCCATCGGGTTCCCATAGGACCCGGACAGGGTTCCATCGGGTTCCCATAGGACCCGGACAGGGTTCCATGGGACCCCCATAGGACCCGTACAGGGTTCCATCGGACTCCCATACGACCCCTACAGGGTTCCATCGGATTCTCATAGGACCCGTACAGGGTTCCATCGGACTCCCATAGGACCCCTACAGGGATCCATCGGGTGCCCATAGGACCCGTACAGGGTTCCATCGGACTCCTATAGGACCCCTACAGGGTTCCATGGGAGGCCCATAGGACCCCTACAGGGTTTCATAGGACTCCCATACGACCCAGACAGGGTTCCTTAAAACTCCCATGGGACCCCTACAGGGTTCCATAGGACTCCCATCGGACGCCTACAGGGTTTCATAGGACTCCCATACAGTCTGTATAGGATCCGTATGGGATCCTATACAGTCTGTATAGGATCCGTATGGGATCCTATACAGTCTGTATAGGATCCGTAAGGGATTCCATACAGTCCTTATAGGATCCGTATGAGACCCCGTGCAGTCCGCATAGCATCCGTATGGGGATCCCATACAGTCCGTATCGGATCGGTAGGGGATCCCATGCAGTCCGTATAGGATCCGTATGCGATCCCATACAGTCCGTATAGGATCCGTATGGGATCCCATACAGTCCGTATAGGATCCGTATGGGATCCCATACAGTCCGTATAGGATCCGTATGGGATCCCATACAGTCCGTATAGGATCCGTATGGGATCCCATACAGTCCGTATAGGATCCGTATGGGATCCCATACAGTCCGTATAGGATCCGTATGGGATCCCATACAGTCCGTATAGGATCCGTATGGGATCCCATACAGTCCGTATAGGATCCGTATGGGATCCCATACAGGCCGTATAGGATCCGTATGGGATCCCATACAGGCCGTATAGGATCCGTATGGGATCCCATACAGGCCGTATAGGATCCGTATGGGATCCCATACAGTCCGTATAGGATCCGTATGGGATCCCATACAGTCCGTATAGGATCCGTATGGGATCCCATACAGTCCGTCTAGGATCCGTAGGGGATCCCATACAGTCTGTATAGGATCCGTATGGGATCCCATACAGTCCGTATAGGATCCGTATGGGATCCTATACAGTCCGTATAGGATCCGTAGGGGATCCCATACAGTGGGAGCTCCCGTAGGGTCACACACCCCCCACCTGCCCGCGCAACGGAACACAACGCAACAGAGGCTGCTCATACAGCCGTGTTGCGTTGCGTTGCGTTGCGTTGCGGGGGGGGGGGGGGGGGGGGGTCCTGGTACACCAGTGGGTTGTTTCGCTACATGGAGCAAAACAGCGAACTGGTGGACCGGCTCCGGGTACACCAGCAGGTTGTTTTGCCTTGTTGTTGTTGTTGATGATGATGATGATGATGATGATGATGATGATGTTGTTGTTGTTGTTGATGTTGTTGTTGTTCAGAGCACGAAAAATAACACATAAACGCGAAGGGTTTTATTGGTTTTACGCCGGAAGGGGGCGTCGTTGAGAGGGTACCTGGCACAGATGCGGGGATCGGTGTGGCGTCGGTCTTTGGAGCTGGCGGTTTGCGTGGCAAGTGCGTTTAGCTGGTCGCATGTGTTCGGAACGCGTGACGGGTGGCAAGGCCGCCCACCAGCAACTGGCAGTCCTCTGCCCGCGGTCCAGAACAAATCGTCGCGCGGTCGCAACGGGGTGCGGGAAAAGGGGGTTGGGAAGAAAGCGCGAGTCTCATTCCCAAGAAGTCCCTTCGATAGGCAGCAAACAATTGTTTTTCCATTCATCTGCCGCACGGCCAAACGAACGAACGAACAACTGTCCCGGCGCGCAGTGTTAGCTTCGCTTGCGCGCATCCTGGCTTCCTTCCGTTGCTTCCTTTGCTTCTTTCTCGCCCTCCTTTTTTTTCCCCCCTCTTCCCCTGCTTTGCCTTGCCCCGCCCTCCCTTCCTTTCCAGGTCGGAGCTGTCACCGCGCGCGAAGAGCGCAACCCAAGGGGCGTTGCTGTAATTCCTTTGTGTGCCACGAAATCTCGTGTAATTCCTTTGGGTGCGGTCTGGTTACACTGCCAACGCGGGGGGCACACAAAGGAATTTCCTTTGTGTACGATCGTTTTCGCCGCCCCCACAAGAGCACGCGCGATTCCTTTGTGTAGAGCTTGCTTTCCCGCCTCGAGGAGCGCGCGGGGCCTGGCGCTACAATCACAAGGCCGCGGCGCCTGGCAGTGCGATGCAGCTGCGCCAGATACCACTCCCAAAGCGATCCTGTGTGGATTTCGGCTTTTCTGCCGAATTCGCGCTGGCAGCTGGCCAGCCACATCGCCGGCCTTGCATGCCCGCGCGCGCTACTGCGTTCTGCTGCCGCGACGCGTGCTGCTGTCAGCGGATGAACAAACTGACGTTGCACGGTGGTTTGGCTGTGCCAAACCACCATGGAATGTTTGATGGTAGCGGATCTTGGGATCTTGTCGCCGCCGACAGCCTTGGTACACCATACATGTCAACTGCATCCTAGAACGCGGCCGTGCATCAACCCTGGCTCGGATCGCTGAGGATCCAGTCGCATGTGTGCACATGCGTTGCATCGCTGGTGGTGCCAAAACCCTTTGTGTGAAATTCCCTTGTGTGTTTTTCTAGCTCTGAAGAATAACTGTTGTTGATCCCCCCGCCCAATGCGCATGGTATTTTTTCGATTGAAGTGCTCTCCCGGGGCTCGCACTTTTTTAAAGCAGGGGAAGTCTTGAAGCTCAAACTATGTCGTTGGCCCCTGGTTCACAACAACAGCGGATCCCGCTTGGTACTTCCTCACAATTTATTGAAGAATTGCGCTCTCGCTTGGGACTTCCTTGCGATTTACCACCAAACCGCGGCTCCCGCTAGGTACTTCTTGACCATTGATTGCATAATCGCGTTCTCGCTTGGGGCTTCCTCGCAACTTATCACCGAACCGCTTCGCTTGATATTTCTTTACAGTCCTCGACACTCAGGAATCGCGCTCCCGCAACATACTGCCTGGCGGTTCAAGCAGGACTCATGCTTCAACGACCCGCCCGCTCGACCCGCCCGCCCATCGGGGCCTGCCCGCCCGACCAGTCCGTGAATGACTCCAGTCGCCGTTCGCTGCCCTTCGCCCGCCTTCGCCCCTCGCTGCCCGTATTGGTTCCGCGGTCGCCTTCGTTCGCTGCCCTTCGTGGCCCCGTTGCTGCCCTCAGCGGCTCCGTCGCTGCTCTTTGTGGCCCTTGATTATATGCTCTTCGTGGCCCCCGCTCGCACGCGCCCGTCGTGGCCCCACACGCGTGCCCCTCGTAGCCCCGCTGTCGCCCTTCGTGGCCCCCTCGGTGCCATTCGTGGCCCCTTTGCTGCCCTCAGTGGCCCCGCTGTCGCCTTTTGTGGCCCCGTATACGAATGCCTTTCGTGGCCCTCGCTCGCTCGCGCCCGTCGTGGCCCCATATGCATGCCCTTCGTGGCCCCGCTGTCGCCCTTTGTGGCCCCTTCGCTGTCCTTGATGGCCCTGGTGCTGCCCTCAGCGGCCCCGTCGCTGACCTCTGTGGCCTCGGTTTTTTGTGCCCTTCGTGGCCGACGCTTGCTTTTCTCACGATTTACTTAGGGGTCGCGCTATCGCTGGAGATTTCCTCGCGAATTTATGCAGGACCCACGCTTCAGCAACCCGCCTGCTCGACCTCGTCGCCTGGGCCCGCCTTCCCGACCTGCCCGCTATGGGTCTGCCCACCCGATCTGCCCGTCCGGTTCTACCACTTGTTTTCTGCTCCGTGCCCCCCTTCCTGCTAATTTTTCCCGTGCTCAATTATTCTCCCCCTTCCACCCGTCCTCTCTTCCCTTGTTTTAGGGGCTGCATTAAATACACGTGGCAGGTAAGGAAGATATACCCCCAATGGGGGTACGATCGAAGACGACGAGGGCGGGTACCGAGGGTTTGGGATATACGTACAGATAAGCACGTGAGCAGATAGGAACGAACAGTCTTGAACTGATTATTGTTGTTGTGGTTGTGGTTGTTATTGCTGTTGTTGTTATCGTTGTTGTTTTTGTTATGTCTATCTCTCATTGTATGCATGTCTGTATGTGGGTATGTTGTTCTGTGTGTATATGTAGGTGTGTATGTCTGCATGTATGCATGTATGCATGTACGCATGTATGTATGCATGTATGTGTGTATATGTGTATATGTATGCATGTATATATGCATGTATGTAGATGTATGCATGTATCTGTGCATGTGTGTATGCATGCATGCATGTATGCATGCATGTATGTCTGTATGCGTGCAGGCATGCATACATGTGTGTATGCATGTATGTGTGAATGTGTGTATGTATGTAGGTATGCATGTATGCATGTATGTGCATGTACGTATGACTAAATGCATACACGTATGCTTGTACGTATGTATATATGAATATGTTTATGTCTCTATGTATGCATATATGCATGTATGCAAGCATGCATTTATGTAGGTTTGTATGTCTGTATGTATGCATGTCTGTATGCATGTACGAATGCATGCATGTATGCATGCATGCGTGCATGTATACATGTATGCAGGTATACATGTATGCATGTATGTTTGAATGTATGTATGTATGTATGTTTGTTCGTACGTACGTACGTCTGTGTGTATGTATGTACGGATGTATGTATGTATATATATATATATATGTTTACACATGTATGGATGTATGTATGTACGTACATATGTATGCATGCATGCATGCATGCATGTATGTATGCATGCATGCATGTATGCATGCATCTATGTATATATGTATGTATGTATGTATTTATGTATGTATGTATTTATGTATGTATGTATGTCTGTATGTATGTATGTATGTTTGTATGTATGTATGTATGTGTGTGCGTATGTGTATATATATACATATGAATGCGTGTGTAGATAGACAGGTAGGTCGGTAGGTATGTCGGTAGGTTGGCATGTATGCATGCATGGATGCATGTATATATGCATGCATGCATTCACAGGTATATATATATATATATACACATACATTCGAAGACGTGTGCCACAACCAGCCTGGAATTCCAACACAAGGGCCCTATCGTGCTGTTCGCAACCGAGGAAAGGGGGAGCTGCGTACATAGGAGCAGGAGGAGGTGCCATGTGAGCAGGAGGATGGCAGGAGGACAAGGAGGAGGAAAATCAGGAGGATGTCGCAGGAGGAGGACGAGGACGAGCAGCAGCAGCAGGAAATGGAGTGGAAGGAGCGGGAGGAGCAGGAGGATCAAGGGGAAGGCGTAGGAGGGGGAATGAGAGAGGCGACAGCGATGAAAAAGGATTAGGATCCAGAGAAGTGGCTCGCGCTAGGCGATAACGCTACTCGGAACGACGGGAGTGAAGTGCCGATCCGAAAATGAGGCCCACGCTGCAGCGGGAGCACTATGTTGAAACACCAAAAACACATGGATGGTAACGACAAGCCATACTATATATAGTTTGTCCAAACCTGTTTGTAACAATCAATCCGCGGATTATCTTCCAGACGATGTCACGGAAGAGATGAGAGTACGTAGTAATCTTTATGAGTTCTTGCAGACGGGGCTGGGTACAACAGATGGGGGGCATGCCCGTTCCGGGACCCTACTCACACGTTTTGAGGCCCAGCAGGGGGTCCACCAACGAAGGCCTCAGCGGCAGTGTACCGCATGCGGCCCCCACAGCGTGCCGTGGCCCCACAGGGAGCTCCACCGAAGGCCTCAGTGGCAGGGTGTCGCATGCGGCCGCCCCGCGAACTTAGGCACACCCCTCACGCGAGGGGGCTTCCTCGCGGCGCATTGCCTATGAAGAGAAGGCCATATCCTGTGCTTGTCGTAGCCGTTCTGGATCGCCAGGTAAATTCTTCTTCTCAGCAGACGTGCGTGTGTCTTCGAACGGAACGAGGAGAGGGGGGGTTCTCAGCCCCGCAGGGGCACCCTGCACACCACCACCGTGCCTGTCTATGGCGCCACTTTTGGGCCGAGCAGATGGTGTATAGGGTAGGTTCATGCGGCGTTGGCGCGCCGGCGACGCTGGCGAAGGCGTTCAAGGTTGCATTCTGCGCTGCGGAACCACCGTCGGACACGGTAACGCCATTGGGCCCGATTGAACTGAACCTCGAACGATCGGGGACGCGATCGACTCGAGGTTGCACGATCGACGCGGAGTCAGAAACCTTGGCGCGCGCCGACGCCGCACGAACCTATAGGGCCGCACAGACCCTCCGCGGCCTCCGCCGGGATGCTGCAGGCACCTTCCCCCCTGCCAGGGCTCCTGGCCGGGCGCGGTGCCAGTGTTAAGTCGGGCCTGTCCCCCTACACGGGGATTTCGACGAAAATAAAACATACCCCCAAATAGTCCAAAAATAATTCAAACATTGTCTGGGGACAATTTTTTTGAGTACTTGGGGTAGTCTTTGAGGGTATTTTTTTATTTTTCGTCGACAATCCCCTCTGTAGGGGGACAGGCCCGACCCCATGCCGGTGCGCATTAAGCAGCTGCCCGCGCGCCCCCGCCCGCCCGCTCCCCGCCTCTCGCCGCCTCTCGCAGCCCCGGCGGCAGGCATCAAGATGGGCGAGGCCATCGGGGCCGCGGGCCCGGCCGCCCCGCCGAGACCTCCCCCGGAGCGTCGGGCGCGCGCGCGCCGCCCCGGCGGGCCGCCGCCCGCGCCCCGGATTGAGGATCGAGGGCCGGGGATTTAGCTGGGGGGGGGCCTCGGCCAGAACCGCCCCTGGCAACCCCCGGAGCTGGGCTGGTCTGTGGGCGCGTGGGTTTGAGCATCAGGGGAGGGAGCGGTGCCGCTGCCGCTGTCTGTTTGCTTCGCTTTGGCGTCCGTGGGGCCTCCTGGCCCTCGCTGTCACGGCTGGGTTCGCCTCGACATTCTGGCCTCAGAGTGCGTGCTGTGGACGGTGTTCGCGCGTGGGTCTGATCTGGGCCTCTCAGACGGGACCGCGCCGCATCGCCGATGTGTCGGCGACGTGGCTCGATGGACAATCCGATTTTCTCCACGCCGACGTCGCCGATGCATCTCCGGTGCATTGGCGATGCACTGCCGATTCACTGGCGATGCGGCGCGATCCTCCGACCCCATCCACTCGGACCCCACCTGGGAGGCCCAGATCAGACCCACGCGCGAACACCGTCCACAGCGCGCGTTCGGAGACCAGAATGTCGAGGCGAACCCAGCCGCGACGACGAGGGCCGCCCAGGAGGCCCAGGAAGACAAGAGCGAAGCAAACATGCAGCGGCATCAGTACCGGTTCCTCCTTCGATTTACAGACCCCACGCGCGAATTCGAAGGGACGGAAAACAGTATGACCGACTGGGTTCTACGTCGCGTGTCGGCCACCTGGGCGTCTGCCCAGCTCGCCCCCGACCCGCGTGGAGCCCGAGAGGCGACAAGTGGCGCTGGCCTTTGGCCAGCGGGGCCGGGCAGGTCGCGGGAACGGGCAGGCGCGCGTGTGCCCGCCGAGCCCTGTCGGCGACCCCCGAGGGCCCGATCGGGCAGGGCCTTTTTGGGCCGACTGACGCCCTGAAATCTTGATGTGAAGGTTTTGCGTGATCGTTCCGTTTTCTCAGGGTAGAAACTTTTTTTCTGGCCCGCACGGGGCCCTGGGCGTTTTTTCGGCCCCTGTCGCGTCGGAGGGGTATGCATTCTTGTCGGGGTCTTCCGTGCTTGTCGACCGGGCGCCTGGGCCCCTGGCAGCTGTCGCGAACCCTCGGGGCTCGTCATTCGGGAGGTGGCGCGAGAGAAACGTTGATATTCCGACTACGGACTCGCCGAACACTTCCCCGAGGGGGCCGTCGACGGCGCCGACCAGCCAGCGGGGTCGCTGGCCCCGGGGCGAGATCTCCAGCAACACTGGTATTGGAGGGCCCCGAGGTGGGGGGGGACCATGCTACGCAAAGAAACGAAACAGCCTCTGCTATGCTGCTTTTCGTCTGCTCAGAACTACCGTCCACGGACCAGCGGTGTTCGCGGTGTTCGCGCGTGGGCTTGAGCAGGAAGGCTCCGGCCGTGTGCGCGTTCGCGGAGTGCCCCAGCGCGGTGGCACCGCTGGGGGCTCCTCCAGCGGCACCGTGTTCGGCCATTGCCCTCGTGTGAGCCCGTTGCGAGCTTCGCTGCGCCCTGTCACGGCAGGTATCCGGAGGCTCCCAGATACCAGTCCGTTTTGGGCGCCATCCCATTTCAAGTTTACCAGTTTGAAACATATCCCTATCCCTATGTTTGACATCACCTCACCTCGATGCCGATCTTAAGGATTCCCTCAGTTTCTGAGGGCCTATCCCTCAGATTGTCCTCGCTTTTTGCTCGCCCATCTTAGGGATAGGGATCAGTTCGAGGCTGGTTATCAAGTGTCGAGCGGTTTCCCCTCTGCCTTCCTCTCCAGTGGTGCGGGGCGGGCGGAGGCCCAGTCCACTCGCAGGACCTTCCTGCTGCTTCCCCTGGCTCGGCGTCGGACTGGCGGCGCCTCTGGCGCAACCCCTTGGCGCGCTCCGCGCGCCAGGCAGGGCGGGGGGGGTCCAGCGCCGATCCGCGGAATCCGCGCGGGCCGTGGAACAATCATGTGTGTGCCGTGTTTTTTTTGTTTTTTTTTGTTGTTCTTCTCGTTCCTCTAGAACGAGAAAGGCTGCAGCAACATCAGCCGGCGGCGCGCCGAGGGGGGAAGCGACAGGGGGCAGGCCTTGTCGCGATGATCTCAGGACGTGCCCTGTGCGACGTAGATCCAGAGCGGGAGTGGCTGCCGGAAGCCTAGAGGGGGATTTCACGGTACAGTCAAGGCGTTGAAATATGGACCATTTCTGGTTTAGTAGCGCTCTGGTTTTCGGGCCGTTCCTGAGATCAAGGTCGGGGGACTTATTCGTAGCCGAGGTTCGCCGTGACCACAAAAGCCCTTTCGTCCCTCATTCAGCTTTCCACATGGTGGCACGATGGCTGTATCTCTTCTTGGGAAGGCCACTCCAGACACTCCAGAGAGGGGATCGCGGCAGCGTAGCAAAAGTCAGCCTGGCAGCCTGGGCCTTGCGTGGCTTGAAGATGTTGATACGACATCGCCTCTGCATTTTGATCCTGCTTGTGCCGAGGCCAAGAGCATCGATTTGGAGTGGGTGCAGGCCATGCGGCTGGGAAGCGAAGGGACGCTCAGTGCATGCAGTCGAACTTGAGATGCACATGACCCGCTTCTATTGTTCAGACTGTCTTCGATTTGATTGGGGATGTTGGTTTCGGTTTCGAGCGGTGTGATCATTTCGTATGCTTCCCGCCCGTACCGCCACGCCCATTCGCATGGTCCGCTTCCGCTTCGATCACTAGTCGACTCTTAGAGCATGTGTTCGTGCACGAGCTTGCCGATATCACGGAGTTCTTTTTGAGGGCGAATGACGTCAAGATCGCTCAAGGGGGGCACAGCAGGCACATTTGGTCGCATTGCCGTTGAGCTCCTGGTCTGTCAGCGTGTGCCCCACGAGCGTTTTGTGATGTCTGGGTGGGCCCAGGGACCCACCGAAGTCCTGGGGCACCTTGCGAAGCTCGAGTTCAGCTTACGAAGCGCAACATCGACGCCGAATGTGGTCCTGTATATCTTGCAGACTGATTTTCGGCGAGCGTAAACGGGGTCTATCGGTTAAGTGATTGGGCCTTACCTATGAACGATCCCCTTCTCCTTCCCCCTCCGCCTCCCCACACCCCCAGCCAGACGGGGCAGGGTCTGAGCTTGCACTCAGGAGTTCCGCCAGGATGAACTCCAACTCCTCCCCCCCATGCCCCTGCATGCGGTGGTCGATTCCCGAATCTAGCTTATTTTCGCTTCTCGAAAGGGTGTCGCGGCCGCCATGTTGGCGGAGCTGCGCCCGCTGGGTTCCGCCCATCCGCCCTCCATGCGAGCAAGCCTGCCGCAGTCAGAAGAAACAATGTCTCTTTGCCAAAGGCGGTTACGTCCACCCCCGATGCATGCTTTCTCTGTCTCTCTCTCTCGTGTTTTTTGTTGTTGTCGTTGTTGTTGTTGTTGTTGTTGTTGTTGTAGTTGTAGTTGTAGTTGTTGTTGTTGTTGTTGTTGTTGTTGTTGTTGTTGTTGTTGTGGTTGTTGTTGTTGTTGTTGTTGTTGTTGTTGTTGTTGAACATTATTTCTTCTTAAGAATAATTATTGTTGGGACCCCTGGTGCACGACCCCCCCGCCGCGCCTAGGCCGCAGCCTCATTTTCATCATTTTCGTGAGGAAGTCTCAGGCAAAACGGGATGGTCCGGATCCGGTTGTGTTGTTACGATCGGTTTTCCCTTGCAAAAAATAAGCTAAAGTGGACATTTCTTGTTCTAACATAACCAAACTTCAAGAATCCCTTGCAAAAAATAAGGTAAAGTGGACATTCGCGCGCGCAAGACGAAATCCTTCCAAAACCTTAGTTTTCGTAGCGATTTTAACATAAAAACATCAAAAAACCAATGGTTTTTCAAAAAAAAATGTCAAAATTTCATCCCGCGCGCTCTTGCGGATTCGTAGGAAACCCAACACTTTTTAATCATTTCTGTCAAACGGGCTTTTGCGAGCAACTTTTTCGAACTTCTGCAACAACGGTTGCGCACCTGCCAGGGCCATCATCCCTGTCAAATAATACCATGCGGGACACATTCGTTTTTTCTTCGCGCGCGCACGCCGTCGTCGTCGGCCGCGGGGCCCTGAATAGTAGCCACGGTCGTCCGCATGCCACGAAGTGAAGTGTCCGAACGTCATAGGGCGGGAAGCTGGGTGTGGGTGGTGGCGAAGAGTCGTTTGGAAATTTGGTAGAGCTTGAACCGGCCCCCCCACAAAGTGGGGGTATTGCCCGCCTCCTATGAAAACCCTGGCACTGGTTAGAACGGTGTGTCCCCACGTGCTAGTAATTGTTGTTGTTGTTGTTGTTGTTGTTGTTGTTGGTATTGTTGTTGTTGTTGTTGTTGTTGTGGTTGTGGTGGTGGTGGTGGTGGTGGTGGTGGTGGGTGTTGTTGTTGTTGTTGTTGTTGTTGCTGCTGCTGCTGCTGTTGTTGTTGTTGTTGTTGTTGTTGTTGCTGTTGCTGTTGCTGTTGCTGTTGCTGTTGTTGTTGCTGTTGCTGTTGCTGTTGTACTGTTGTTGTTGTTGGTGTTTATTAATCTTCCAGTACACATATATAGATGTATAGGTCTCTCTCTCTCTCTCTCTTTCTCCCTCGCTTGAGGTAAACCGTGTTCTGGCGATCTCGCGGACCGTCGTTGTTTTGATTTCGGTCCGCGGCAGAGGCAGAACGAGGACAGAACGAAGGGAGCCGAAGACAAACCGATCCCGAAAGCACCGTTTCGCTCGAGCCCTGGCGCGTTTCGACCTCCGTTGTTTGGACCTCCTTGATCGCCTACACGTGAGGGTGGCCCTTCGCCTGGGCCCCTCGGGGTCCCCCGATCGCCGAACGCGACGCGACAGTCGCGTCTTGCGCGCTTGGGGTTGGCCCCCGCGCGGCCCCCCAAACAGCCGCGCACCAAGGGTCACTCTTGCCCAGGGCCGCTCTCACCCAAGGGATCTCCTGTCCTGGAGTCACCACGTCCGGATCCGCGCCGACGAGCGGGCCAGGATGGACCTCGGGCGGTGTCCGAGGACCGATCTGGAGCGGTTCCGAGTCGGGCGGGGGAGCCGCCGTGGTCTCGCTGGGCCTTCCTCGAGTGCCCGGGCCCCGTCGCCCAGCGGCGGGCCAGCCAGCATCTGCGGAGGGTCCGCGTCGGGCCGGCGCAGCGGCGGCCCCGCCGCCAGAGTTTCCTTCTTCGAAGGAAGGGAGGAGGGAGGGAGGAAGGAGGAGGAGGACCCTTCCTCCTCCTCCTCCTCCTCCTCCTCCTCCTCCTCCTCCTCCTCCTCCTCCTCCTCCTCCTCCAGGCTGGACTCCGCCAGTGTCCCAGAGTTGGCCGACATGGCACGATCTGGTGATGGAGCCGCCGCGGATCGTTCCAGGTACGCAGCGCGATCCACGCGGTGTCAGAAACCAAGGCCAGGGTCGTCAAAGACAGCCCCGAATTCAGAGTGCCTCCCCCGCCCCCGCGTCCTTCTCCCCGGGCCGCGGTCTGCGGGCTGCTGGCCCTGCCCGCGGTGCCGCGGGGCTCTCGGCGCGCCCCCCGCCCCGCTCCCCCTCGCCTCCAGCTGCTTCCCCGTCCGCGGTCGTGCCGACCTGCCCGTCGCGCGAGGGGGCCCCGCCTGTGGACTCGGTGCGCCTTGTGGGGCGGGGGAGGAGGCGAGGGGCGGGGAGGGGAGGCGGAGGTGGAGGAGGAGGAGGAGGAGGCGAGGGGAGGAGAAGGATATGGGGAGCAGAAGGAGGTGGAGACAGAGGTGGACGGGGAGGTGGACGAGGAGGAGGAGGGGAGGAGAAGGATGTGGGCATGAGGGCAGGGACGGGGATGCAGGGGAGAGGAGGGAGGAGGCGGAGGGCATGGAGAGGGAGGGAGGGAAGGAGAGAGGGCGGCGAGGCGGAGAAGGACGGGGACGAGGAGGGCGGTCGTTGGTTCGCAATCCCGACCTCTAAAGATGCCTCCGGGGCACTGCGCCCCAAGCAGACGCGCCACGCCCGCTTCCTGGAGGGGCCTGCACTAGCGCTGACGCGCCTCGATTGGCATCTGCCAGCGCCGAGCCGAGAGAGCCAGCAAGATACGGAGTTGCTCGGAGGTTGATAGACCTCCTACCCTGACACGGCGATTAAGGAATTGGCCGTTTTCGGTTCGCGAGAGGGCGTCGCGGCCGTCATTTTTGCGGGTCCAGGTCCCTGGGTTTCGGTCGCAGGCCGTTTTCACTAAGGGGAGGTTTACTACAGGGAGGTTTGTCTACCGCCGAGTTGCCACAAAACCGGGGGGCCCGTTGCCGTGCAGAACGAGCGCTCGGGACTGCAGAGCCGGTCCCCGGGAAGGGGCCCAGACATCTGGGGAGCGGCGCCGTGGAGCAGTCGCGGCGTCGGGTGTCTGCGGAGGCGGAGAGCGGGGGGGGAGCTGGAGGGCGGGACGCGACCCGCCCCCGCCGTGCCTTCAACGCCGTGGTGCGGCCCCTCCCCTCGCCGGCACTGCAAGCTCGTCGTTGCCCGCTCGCCCAGGAGCAGCAAGGCTCGTGCGGAGGCGGCGTGGCCCGACCATGGGTCGGCCGGGGCCTGCCCTCGCCCTCCCCCCCTCCTCCCCCTCCTCCTCCTCCTCCTCCTCCTCCTCCTCCTCCTCCTCCTCCGCCCCAAGTGGCGAGGAGAGCCCCATGGCATCCGCGCCCTCGCCGCCCCCCCAGTCGGGCATGATTCGGGCGGGGCCAGGACGGACGAATCTTGCCAGAGCGTTCCGGAGTGCTCTCAGAGCGTGCCGGACCGTTGTGATGAGGCCGCGGCGCCCGATGCGTCCTCCAGAAGTGCCGGATCTCAGAGATGCCCAGTTTAGCCCAGTCCGATTTTGTGCTTGTCCTGGCCTCGTCTCCAGAGTCTGGCCAGCGCAGGAGGAGAAGGATCCACCTCTGGTGGGCCCCCGACGCCGTGGTGTCTTCGCGTGGGCCCTGGGGCCTGGCAGCGGCCCCTGGGAGGCCGGGCACGGCGAACAACAGAGCGAGGTCGGCGATTTGTTGCGCGGCGATATTCGCATCCGTTTGGAGAGGGAGGAGGCGGGCATCCCTCGCCGAGGCTCCTCGGCCGCGGCCGGGCCCGCCCATCGAGCCCGCCGCGCGCGCGGGCCCGCCGCGGCGGTGGCAGGTGCACCCCACCGGCCTGGTGAAGCCTGACGACCCCGACGCCAAGATCAAGTTCCTGGCCGCCGAGGCGCGCCGTCTCCGCCGCCGCACGCGCCTCCGCCGTCGGCCAATTGTTGCCGCGATCCGCCGCCGCCGCCGCCGCCGTCGGACGACGCCGTCCGTCGCCCTCGCGGCTGCCGCCAGCGCCGCGACCGTCGCCGTCGTCGTCGCGTCGTCGATGTCGTGGTCGTCGCGGCTGCCGTCGCTGCCGCTGCCGTCGTCGCTTCGTCGTCGCGTCGTCTTTGTCGGAGGAGGCGGCGGGGAGGGAGGAGGGGAGACGGGAGCGAGGACACGAGTGGGCGCAGAGGGAGGACGGAGGAGGGAAGTGGGTGTCGTCGCCGTCGTTTCTCCTTGCCCCCCCTAGAGTAAAAAATCGAGTCGCCAGGGTGTCCCGCGGGGGCTAGGAGTGGGTCCTCGAAAACCAGGGCCCCCTTCCCCCTCCTATCCCTGGGATGATGAGGATGAGGACGAGGATTTGGAAGAGGATATGGATGAGCATGAGTATGAGTATGAAGAGGGCGATGAGGAATATTAGGAATACGACTATTGACGATGCTGATGATGATGCTGATGCTGATGCTGATGCTGATGATGCTGATGATGATGATGATGATGATGGTGTTGCTGCTGCTGATGCTGCTGATGATGATGGTGATACTGATGATGATGATGATGATGATGATGATGATGATGATGATGCTGCTGACGCTGATGATAATGCTGACGATACTGCTGATGATGCTGATAATTATGCTGCTGCTGCTGACGCTGATGCTGATGCTGATGATGATGATGATGATGCTGATGCTGCTGATGATGATGATGATGATGATGATGATGGCGACGACGATGGTGATGCTGCAGATGATGATGCTGATGTTGATAACGATGGCGATGGCGCTGGCGATGGCGGTGGCGATGACGATGGCGATGACGATTCTGCTGCTGGTAATAGTGATACTGATGATGATGACGATGTTGACGACAGTGATGATCATGTTGGTTGATGATTCTGGTAAGAGTGGCGATCATTCAAATGGCACCCGTGATACTGATTATTATGATGATGGTGGTAAAGACTGTGATGATGTTTGTGCGGGTGATGACAGGACAGACGTTATGATTTTGACCATAGTTGTGGGGCGGATTATGATGATGCTGATGATGATGATGATGGTGGTGATGGTGATGATAATGCTGATGACGACGACGATCATGTTTATGATGATGCTGATGATTCCGAAGATGCTGATGCTGATGATGCTGTTGCTGCTGATGGTGATGTTCAGGTTGGTTGGTGATTGTGGTAATGATGGCGACTGTTTGAAGGGCAATGGTGATGACGATTATGATGATGCTGGCGATAACGACTGTAATAGTGCTTGTGCGGATGATGATAGTACAGGCGTCATGATGGTGATGATCGTGGATGGGATGATGATGCTGCTGCTACTGCTGCTGCTGCTGATGATGATGATGATGATGATGACTATGCTAATGCTGATGCTGATGATGCCGATGATGATGATGATGATGATGATGATGATGATGATGATGATGATGATGATGCTGATGATGATGATGATGATGATGATGATGAGGATGTTGATGATACTTATGATGATGCTGATGCTAATGATGCTATTTTTCATGGCGATACTGCTGATGATGATACTGACGTTAGATGATGATGATGGTGATGATGATGATAATGATGATGATGATGATGATGATGATGATGATGATGATGGTGTTGAGGATGCTGATGATGCGATGATGATTCCGATTAGGATGATGCGGCTGATGATGGATACCATAGTGAACGACGGCGATTATCATCATACATATCTACATGCCATGACGGCGATGATTATGATGACGATGGTAGTGATGGTGACCATGCTGTTGACGTCGTTCACAACGATGACAATGACTACGGGCGATCATGGTGATTCGTCATGGCGACGATGGCGGTGGTTATTTTTAGTAACCGCCCTGCTCTTGGCCGTTGGCCGCCTGACCTTAGTAATGTTTCGCCAGCCCGAGAGGCCCGCACGCCGTCGTCGTCGCCGTTGTTGTCGTCCGTCGTCGTCGTCGTCGTCGTCGTCGTCGTCGTCGTCGTCGTCGTCGCCGTGCGTCGTCGTCGTCGTCGTGCGTCGTCGTGCGTCGTCGTGCGTCGTCGTGCGTCGTCGTGCGTCGTCGTGCGTCGTCGTCGGGGTCGTCGTCGTCGTCATCGTTGTCGTTTTCAACGTCGTCGTTGCCGTTTTCAACGTCGTCGTCGTCGTCCGTCGTCGTCGTTTTCCCGTGTCTTTGGCTTCGTCGCCGCCGTCAGCTTCGGCGACGCTGTCGTCGTGTGCGCCGTCGTCTTCTCCTTCCCCTAGTCGCTGTCTCCGTCATGTGCCGACAGCGCCAGATACAGAAAACGCTGAGGTAAGGACCTGTTTGGGCTCAGGAGGTCAGGAAGGGCTCTGGATTTTCGGCCGTTCCTCATAACTAGATCGGGTGAGCTACTCGAGGCCAAGGCTCTTCTGACTACGACTTCGAAGATTGCGACTCCGAGGATACCTGCCCAAATGCGTGTGGTCCCCAGATAGCCCGCTGAGCGCGGAACTATGGGCGCCCATATTGCTTGAGCGCTCGTTGGCGCCTGCTTACCTGTGTGAGTGAGTGATTGAGTTGTGAGACACCGATCTGCGCAGATCTAGTCTGATGCCAGTACACTACGCAGACATTAGCGTGCAGAGCAGTTGACGACGAGTTGGGCTCTACTTGTGCTCAGTTCAGTTCCTCGTCGCTCCGATGCGACTCCGTCCTACCCCTTCCCTTTCCACCCATTTATTCGAAATAACTCCTGCCGCTCTACCAGATGTCGTGAGGGTGGTCTGAGCGTTTCGCTGGAGACTTCTTTACTGTCTACGACTAAAGCTTGACACCTCCCGTGGCTACGCGGATGGGGGGCGTGTCGTTTTCAAGTCGGGGCTCCTGCTTTTGTGCGCGTAGTCTCTTCGTGAACATGTCCAACAGCTCAGCGGATGTAGTTCGTTCGTTCGTTCGCAAGCCATGTCGCTCGACACATCGGTTCAGCAGGGTAAACGGCAATCATATATACACCTAAGCAAATTTTGGGTCAATGGAAAGGCCATCTTGTTTCGCCTTGGCGCCGCGTGCACTCGCCTTAGAAGGTGGAGGGCGGTTCCTCCTCATCATGGGGCTCTCACCTGATGCTGCCCCAGCAGTGGAGTACCGCAGGTGTACCGTTGTGCGACCGTCTCAGGGATGGAGGGCGGCTCCTCCTCCACACCGGGGGTCTCGGTTCAGACGTCGGTAGCCCGGAGCCATTCTGGCTCACGCGTTCCGCAGCTCGCGGAGGGGCAGCGCCCTGCAGGCACGGGGCTGCCGCCTTCGGGCGGCAAGGCATGCCTGCGATGCGGGTGCTCGTCACTGGCGCCAGCGGGCAGACGGGCTCCATCGTGGTTCGCAAGCTGCTGGAGCGCGGCAGCGACGTGTTCACTCCCCGCGCTCTGGTCCGCAGCGCGGAGAGCGGCACCAAGCTTCGGGAGGGCCTGGGAGAGGAGCTGTCCCGTGGCCTGGACGTGGTCGTTGGCGATGTGACGAAACCCGAAACTTTGGAGGCTGCCTTCCAGGATGTCCACGCGGTGGTGATAGTCACCAGCGCCATGCCTCGCCTGGATAAGTCCTCGCTGCCCGGCGTCATCCTCACCAAACTCTTCACCCTTGGCGCCGTATCCAAAAGGCCGAGCTTTTGGTTCGACCCCGGCCAGTCGCCGAAGGAAGTGGATTATCAGGGCCAGCGCGTCCAGATCGACGTGGCTAAAGCTGCGGGTGTGAAACACGTAGTGCTCGTGTCCTCCATGGGGGGCACGAAGCCGGACCATTTCCTGAACACCGCGATGGACAATATCGTGCTGTGGAAGCGGAAGGCCGAGTGCCACCTCATAGCGAGCGGCGTTCCCTACACCATCGTGCACCCTGGCGGGCTGCTGCCCCACTTCGGCGACAAGAGCCCGGCGCCGGGGGGCTGCCGGCGGCTGGTCCCGGCACTGGACGACGCTCTGGTGGACGACGCGCGGAAGCTCAGCCTGGTCCCGCGCGAGGACGTGGCCGAGGTTTGCGTGCAGTGCCTCCTCGCCCCTGGCGAGACCACGGGGAGGTCCTTCGACCTGGGGAGCGACCCAGAGGTCGACAACGTCCCCGCCGTGGACGTCAAGGAGCTCCTGGCGCCGCTCGGCGGCAGGAACTGCCAGTACTCGGCGGCCGATGCGACCTTCCAGCCCCCGCCGAGGTCCAAGGACCTCAGGAGGGCAAAGCCACGCAGAAGAACGCTCCCCAGGGGAAGTGTGGGAAACTCTGGGCAGTGGCTGGGGGGGGGGAAGACGAGAGCCCGGAACAGGTGGAACTCATGCGGGGCATCCCTTTTCGGGCGAAGAACGGTATAACATAAACGTTTTCGCTGTCGGGAGCGCCTGTCCAAGGACGGCTGGAAAGTTTATACCCTTACGATGGCACCGTAGGGGTATGAACTTTCCAGCCGCCCAGGGGCAGGCGTTCCCGACGGCGGTTCGTGGCCCCATGGGGAGCTCCACCGTAGGCCCCAGCGGGAGCGTCCGCAAGGCATTGCCGCCCCATTTTGGCACACCCCTCACCCGGTTCGTGGCCCCCATAGGGAGCTCCACGGAAGGCCCCAGCGGGAGAGTCCGCATGACATTGCCGCTCCATTTTGGCACACCCTTCACACGGGTCGTGGCCTCATAAGGAGCTCCACCGAAGGCCTCAGCGGCCGCGTCCGCATGGCACCGCCGCCCCATTTTGGCACACCCCGCACACGGTTCGTGGCCCCTATAAGGCCCCAGCGGGAGCGTCCGCATGACACCGCCGCCCCATTTTGGTACACCCCGCACACGGTTCGTGGCCCCTATAAGGCCCCAGCGGGAGCGTCCGCATGACACTGCCGCTCCATTTTGGCACACCCCTCACACGGTTCGTGGCCCCATAGAGAGCTCCACCGAAGGCCCCAGCAGGAGCGTCCGCATGGCGCCACCGCTCTATTTTGGCACAACCCTCACACGGTTCGTGACCCCATAAGGAGCTCCACCGAAGGCCCCAGCGGGAGCGTACGCATGGCACCGCCGCCCCATTTTGGCACACCCCTCACACGGTTCGTGGCCCCATAGGGAGCTCCGCCGAAGGTCCCAGCGGGATCGTCCGCATTGCACCGCCGCCCCATTTTGGCGTTCGTGGCCCCATAGGGAGCTCCGCCGAAGGGCCCAGCAGGAGCGTCGGCATGGCACCGCCGCCCCATTTTGGCACACCCTTCACACGGTTCGTGGCCTCATGGGGAGCTCCACCGAAGGCCCCAGCGGGAGCGTCCGCATGGCACCGCCGCCCCATTTTGGCACACCCCTCACTCGGTTCGTGGCCCCCATAGGGAGCTCCACGGAAGGCCCCAGCGGGAGAGTCCGCATGACATTGCCGCTCCATTTTGGCACACCCTTCACACGGGTCGTGGCCTCATAAGGAGCTCCACCGAAGGCCCCAGCGGGCGCGTCCGCATGGCACCGCCGCCCCATTTTGGCACACCCCTCAGACGGTTCGTGGCCCCATAGGGAAGCTCCGCAGAAGGCCCCAGCGGGAGCGTCCGCATGGCACCGCCGCCCCATTTTGGTACACCCCGCACACGGTTCGTGGCCCCTATAAGGCCCCAGCGGGGGCGTCCGCATGGCACTGCCGCCCCATTTCGGCGCACCCCTCACATGGTTCGTGGCCCCATAGAGAGCTCCACCGAAGGCCCCAGCGGGAGCTCTATTTTGGCACAACCCTCACACGGTTCGTGACCCCATAAGGAGCTCCACCGAAGGCCCCAGCGGGAGCGGACGCATGGCACCGCCGCCCCATTTTGGCACACCCCTCACACGGTTCGTGGCCCCATAGGGAGCTCCGCCGAAGGTCCCAGCGGGATCGTCCGCATTGCACCGCCGCCCCATTTTGGCGTTCGTGGCCCCATAGAGAGCTCCGCAGAAGGGCCCAGCAGGAGCGTCCGCATGGCACCGCCGCCCCATTCTGGCACACCCCTTACACGGTTCGTGGCCCCATGGGGAGCTCCGCCGAAGGGCCCAGCGGGAGCGTCCGCATGGCACGGGCCGCGCACGGGGCTCGGGCGAAACCCAGAAGAATCCCCGCTTGCCCGCGTCGGCTCTTCTTCCCCCCATGCGCGCCGCAGTCCTTTTTGCTGCCCCCCTCCTTCGTCTCCTCTCCCTCGCAGTACCCGCAGCAGCATGTGGTTGGGTTCTTCGTCAGGCCAATTTGCTGTTCTTGCCGTGTTCGGCCTCCCCGGGCCCCCGCCGGGCCCCAAGACCGTCAACGCAAACTACTCAGGACGAAAGACAGGCCCTTGGGGAGAGGTCCAGACCTCTGGGGCCCACGCACCGAAAAAATTGGAGCAGCCGGTTGTCTGGGATTGTGTTTTGCCAGAAGCTTCAACGTTTGCAATGGTTGCGCGGATGGAGGGCGGGCCCTTTTCAAAGCGGGTTTGCCGCTGGGCGCTTCCGTTGAACTTTCTGACCCCGTCTTGACGCTCTCCTTCTATCAGGGAGACGTGAGACTCGAGCACGCTGAAACTCGGGTTTGGCGACGCTTCCTGACGATCGCGTCCTGGATCTTGGCGGTCCAGTGCTCGTGGCGTGTTTGCCGCGGCAGGCCGCGTCAAAGTTCAGATTGGGTCTCGGCATTTTCACGGTGGCCCCGTCGGGCCGGCCGACCCGAGTCCCCCCGTGCCCGAGCCTTGCGTCTTCCTTGGCATCGCTCGGACGTGTGCATGCTTTCTCGGCGAGAACCAGCGAAGACCATCCTGGACCATCGAGCGAAAAAAACACGCACGAGACCGAAAAATGCACGGGAAATGGACGTCCGAGCGACGGCCGGCTCCCCGGCTCGTGCCTCGAAGGGCGGACGGCTCCCGCCTCGGCTGCGGGCCAGGGGGGGTGCCCGCCTGGCAAGAGAGGGGGCGCCCCGCGCAGTGGAGCCGTGTCCTTGCGGGGGCGCGCCTCCTCCTCCTCCTCCTCCTCCTCCTCCTCCTCCTCCTCCTCCTCCTCCTCCTCCTCCTCCTCCTCCCCCTCCTCCTACTCCTCCTCCTCCTCCTCCTCGTATACGGTGGAAACCCATGCCAAGAAGCACCCTGCTTGCCGCCAGGGTGCCCTGGGTTTCGCAGGTTTCGATGGTTTTGCGATGGGAAGCGCGACGCTCCCGCACCAAGCATCGATGGACGTCATGGGGTCTCAGGGTTGAGTTTCTCGTGGAATGTTTCTTGTGGTCGAGCCCCTGCTGTATTGCAGTATCCTTGATACATCTTGGGTTCACTTTGGTCGTGCATCACTGGCTCAAAACAGACGCCCGGTCCCGAACGCGCGAGGGCCCAAGCAAAACGCAGGCTCCTCGAGATTTCGGGGAGGGAGGTGTCGGGGCAGGGTTTTACCAGGGGCGGCAGGGGCGAGTGCAAACCATACCCCGAACTCTGTGGCCGATGTTCGAGTCCTCGGTGAGTCCGCCACGTTGGGATTGGGCATGTGCTTTTTCTTGGTCATGACAGTCTCCTCCTCTTTTTCTGTCATCCTCCACCCGTGCTCCTGCGTCGCCCCCTCGCCGCCCTCATCCATCTTCCGTCCTCGAGGCGTTTGTGGTCCCTGCTTGGCCCCTGCTCTGTGCCAAGCTTGCCCCAAGTCGAACACGCCAGGCCTGTCCTCACCACTCAGGAGGGAAAGAAACACACAGACACAATTAATCGTCGATTCCCCCGAAAATATGGGAAAATATGGGAAGTGGGGGGGAAGACAAAAATTCAAAAATATGGGAAAATATGGGGAATCCAGTGATTTGTGTGTATTGATTTGTGTGTCCCGGGGCCCCTTCAACCACGCTCTCCTGGCCAGGGCAGCGAGACGTTAGCGTCGGGTAATCGATGGGATAGCGCCGATGCAGCGCCGACTATCGTCGATTCGCGTCGGTTGGCGTCGATTTGGCGCCGGTCAGTGTCGACGAGGCGTCGGTCAGCATAGGTCAGCGTCGATCCGTAGGAGCCAGCAAGGGGGTGCGGGAGGCTCCCCCCCCGCAAGAGGCGCTCCGCGGCGTCGGCGGCCTGGTGCTGGACGCCGCGGGCAACCGCTTCGCGAACGAGCGCGGCCCTCGGCGCCCTTCCCCCTCGCCTGCGGCCTCGGCGCCGCCAGGCGCTCTCCCGCGCGGGCGCCGCCGCCCGCGCTCGCCGCCGCCCCCGCGCGGTCGAGTGGTGGTCGGCGTCGCCGTCGTGTCCGGCGGCCTCGTCGTTCTCCCCCCTTTGGGGGGGCCTCGAGGCGGGGGTCAGCGCAAGGGTCAGCCGGAGCGCCGGAGCTTGCAGGATCTTGCAGGGTCAGGGGTGTATTGGCCCAGGCTAGCGTGCTGGATCCTGAAGGATCCTGGAGGATCTTGCAGGATTTTGCAGGGTCCGTCTGGCCCGGGTTTGCATTGACCCCGGGTCAGTAGAAGCGCGACCCCCCCCTCCCTGCATGCGCTCGCCTCTCCTCTCCTCCGTCCCCGCTCCTCCCGCTGGGGTCCGCTTTTCCTGCTTCTCCCTCCCATTCCTCCTTGCTCCCCCCTCTCGTCCTCCTCCCCTCCCTCCTCCTCCTCCTCCTCCTCCTCCTCCTCCTCCATCTCCTCCTCTTCCTCTTCCTCTTCCTCTTCGTCCTCCCTCCTGCTTCTTCCTCCTCCTCCTCCTCCTCCTCCTCCTCCTCCATCTCCTCCTCCTCCTGCCTCCTCCTCCTCTTCCTCCTCCTCCTCCTCCTTCCCGCTTCCTCCTGATGCTGCTGCTGCTGCTCCTCCTCCTCTGCCTCCTTTTCCTCCTCCTTTCTCATCCTTCTCCTCTCTTCCTCCCCGCTCCTCCCCGTCCCCTGCTTTCAGACCAGTGTCTTTCCGCATGTGCTGGCGTCTAGAGGCCGCTTGTGAGGCTTGTCAGGATGCGAAGCATGTCCCTGGGAATAGGTCGAGAGTCCCAGCGGCGTCTGGCAAGCTGAACAATCAAACAGTCATCGGAGGTCTGGGTGAGAGGGGGAGGAGGAGGCGGAGGAGGCGGAGGAGGCGGAGGAGGCGGAGGAGGCGGAGGAGGAGGAGGAGGAGGAGGAGGCGGCGGGAAAGGAGGAGGAGGAGCAGGAGGAGGAGGATGAGGAGGAGAAGGAGAAGGAGGAGGAGGAGCAGGATGAGGAGGATCAGGAGGAGGAGGAGGAGCAGGGGCAGGAGGATGATGATGATGAGGAGGAGGAGGAGGACCAGGAGGAAGGGGGGATTCCTTCTCATCCTCCCCCCTCCCGCCCCCCTCCCTTCCTCCTCGAGGAGGAGGGGAGAAGGGTTCAAGCACGCTCCCCGGGTTTGCCGAGGCTGGGACGCCGCGACTACGTCACTGGCGAGATGTGGAAGAACAAGCCATCTGGGGGGGGAGGGGGGTCGCGCGAGATGATGCCGATGCCGATTCCGGCGAGAGCGGCGGCGGCGGCAGCGTCGGGCAGGTGGTAGTGGGGGATGCCCTGCATGGAGGATGGAGAAAAGGGCCGCCAAGGGGCCCTTCAGGGTCCCTCCTGGAGCCAGCAGGGGCCCAGAGGGGGCCACAAAGGGCCCTCTTAGCCCCATCTGTAGGTCGCCCCCACCCGCCCGAGAGTGGCGTCCAGGTTGCCGAGGGTCCGTTTCGCTGTTTGGATGAGAGATGGTCTCAGTGGAGTGCCCAGGCACGCCTGGTGAGGAGGAGGAGGAGGAGGAGGAGGAGGAGGAGGAGAAGTGGCAGGAGAAGGAGATGAGAATGAGGGGGAGGGAGGCAGGGGGGAGGCGGCAGGGGGGAGAAGAGAGAAGGGAGGAGTGAGGAGGGACGGCACCGTCGGGAGGAGGATGGTGGGGGGAAAACGGATGAAGGATGGACGAGTGTTGACGCAGTAGGGCGGGCTGACGTGCAGGAGGGAAGTGGGGAGGAGGACGCCTGTCCATCAGCCTGGCCCGCTTTCCTAAACCCTTTCTCCCTTGTGCAATCCAAGATGGCTCCAGGAGTTGGGGGACCCTCGTGGACCTCCAGGACCCCATTAAAATTGCTCCTAAACGGCCCAAGGTGACTCCGCGACGACCTAAGAGCTCTGAGGCGGCCAAGGGGAGCCCCCAAACGGCCACATGTAGCCTCAAGACAATTCGTCGGGCCCCAAGACGGCCCGACAGTGCCCCAAGAGAACCCGCAAAAAGCCTCCAGAGGCAACATCATTGATTCACCGTCGGTTTTTGCATGGTTTTCACGTTGTCGCCATTTTGGGTGGGTGAAAACCCAAAGCGGCCAAACAGGCGGCCAAAACTGACCCT